CACTTATATACACATGCATACACACGCAATAAATAAATATTCAAGATGAATTGTAACACATAAATGACAATTATGTCATCAAATGCCAAGAAGCATTGATCCTTGGTTCTAAAACAAATTATGGTGCCCTGAGCAGCTCAGGTACTGGTCAAACATGGAATACAAAGTACATGATGTGTGTTTTGCCTTCATTGCTTTGTGTCATAAGACATTTTATAAAATCAAGATCATGAAAAGACTGGCATGTGTGTTTAGAAAGAAGAAAATGTCTTTAAGAAGCTGCTGTGTCTCGGGAACACACTCTGGGCTTCCACAGACCATACATATGATTTTCCAGAACCTCTCTAACTTGCACTACTAATAATGGAGGAAGAAATGCAGACTCAGAATAAGTAAGTCCATTGTCTTTGCACAACTCGAACAAGGCAGCGGCACACTGAGAAGCCAGCTCAGCGCTGCTCCACAATCTTTCCACTTACAAAGATGCTAAATGATAGCTCCGGTGGAGCATGATGCCAGGACTTCCCTAGTCCAGCCCACCTCGGCCTGCACTCCCCATATAGCCCAGGATGCCAGCCAGGGAGTGCTGTCATCGTGATTCCATCAATATGATTCAGTACCATAACAATTTTCCCAAGCACTAAAACCAACATGCTTATGCTCCACAATCTCAGAGAGGATTGAAGTGAGGCATGTAAGAAATATGGAGGAATCCATGTACTCCCATTTGAGTTTGTCACCCTAGGACACACTGTGTCTCCCTACCTCTGCAGTAACAGTTTGTACCTCAAGATGGAAATTAAGAAATAGAATAGAGCAATATTCATTATAAACATGAGGCTAATTTCATTAATAAATGTTAACTAATTATTTTGAAATATTCAAATAATCTCTCTGTATTGTGGTGTCCTCCATAGGCTCACATACTTGCATACCAATTGTTGGGGTTTGGGGCAGGGTATGCAGACTTTAGAAGGTGCAGTCTTGCCCAAAAAGCACATCATTGGAGTGAGCTTTGAGGAGCCTGGTCCTGCTTCTTGCTCGCTCCTTCTCTGCCTTTGGGTGCCATTCACCCCTGCTCCAATTTAAACTCTTCCTTCTCAAAGTTGGTTCTGATCATGATGTTTTATCACACCAAGAAAAAAGTAACCAATATACTCTGTTTACCAAAATATCTCCAGAGGCCATTAGACTCCCAGTAGGTAGCATGCTGACAAATGCCAAAACCTTTTGCAAAATGGCATGTGGCTTTGTGCTGGTTTGCTTTTAGTTTTATTTTTTGTGTTCCTTTAGAATGTTGAAAGTTCTTTGTTCCTTTTGTCTTTCATTTATCAAATGTAACTCAGTCCTTATTAACTTTAACAATCCATGATTTATATATGGGTTTTGACAATATGCAGAGTGCTGAATTCCTACCATCCACACCTCTGATATTTTTTTTATTATTTGTTTAAGTATTTTATTTTTCATATAGAGTTATATATACTTTTTATGTAAGAATATAATATACTTTAAGCATATTCTCCTTTATAACCCATGATACTCCCCTTCTGATCTTTTAATTAATGTGTCTAAGCATTTGCCTATATGTATGGCTGTGCATTAGGTGCATGCCTGGTGCCCTGGGAGGCCAGAAGAGGGCATGGGATCCCCCAAAACTGGAGTTACAAACAGTTGTGAGCTACAATGTGGATTCGAGAATTAAATCTGGGTTCTCTGGAAGAAAAGCAAGTGCTCTTAACCACTGAACAATCTCTCCAGTCCCTTCATTTTGTTTTAGAGTGGAAGCTGAAGCTATGGTCACAGGGAGATACTGTTCTCAAAACAAAACAAAACCCTAATGATCAAGTATGGTGGTGATAATGGTGTACACTTTTAATCCCAGCACAATGAAGGCAGAGGCAGGTGGATCTCTACATTGGAGGCAATCTGATCTACAGGGGAGTTCCAGGAGAGCTGGGTTTACACAGAGAAGCTCTGTCTCAGACAAAAAGAAAGAAAAAAAAAAAAAAAGAAACAAACAAACAAAAGTATTTTTAAAATTATGAACTTATTCTGTCTTATAAATAAAATTAAGAATAAAACTAAATCATATTATCACTTGATTACTGGAACCAAACTTTTATAGATAATTCTTGACTTGGGAGTGAGGCTGGAGGTAGTTTTGGAAAGCTACACATTATTTAATGGCTTTCACATAAAATATTTCTATTTCTAAATTAGATGTATATATCTCTGATGCAGATGCAGCTCAGGAAAACGTTTTATTTATCATATGGCACATTTCTTCAAAGCTACTTGAAAATAAAATTATACTATGACTCTCCTAAGAGAGCTTATTAAAAAGTCTTAAGAGAAATTATTCTATATAATAAAGATTACTCAGTTACTCATAAGATTATGCTCTAGTTTGTGAAGCTCAGGATCACTAACAGGTAAATTCACAAAGCTAATTTAATTACAACAATTAATAGGATTAATATTTAGTGTAAAGAAAACATTTCTCATACAATATTATGTGGAATGATTCCTTCCCAAGGCTATAAAAGTTCTATACATGCCTAAAATATTTTAGCAATGTGCCTATTCCACAAAAATTGTAAATGCATGGCATGAAAAATTAGTTCCCAATTTAATTAAGTTCTCATTCTGTAAATTCAGATGTTGCTGCTGTGTTTCAGTCCTTTAGCATTTAGGCAGCAACAGGATTGCATTGGTCCTGAGGAAACTGGACCATTTCTGGCCATGTTTTAGGTGGTGACCTAACACAACCCAGTGACCTAGAAAATAAAGCCAGAACTAAACAGGAAGTTACAATTCTTTAGATAAGGCAACTCAAATTCTCCAACAAAATTCTCACTGGATGAAAAATTGTGACAGCCACAAAACAGCAAATAGAGCTGTGAGACAATATCTATTTCCTGTCCTCAGGTCACATGGCCTAACCATGATCTCTCTGCAAACTTTGCTTTAATGAAAAGTTGCAAGTATTGTACTCTTAAAGAGCAACAGAACACTTTAGGATGACAATGTCAACTACCCACTTGCTGGAGACCGTCCGACTCTAGAAAGGTGTGAGACTCTTTGATGCTGGTTAAGTTTTTAATTGTGTTGTTGTTGTTGTTGTTCATGCAATGTCATGGAATTAGAGACAATGCTGAATTTTCCACGAAGTCTCATTTATAATTGAATGTTGCATTCATTATTTTATCATTATTGTGATGAAATATCTTGGGGGAGGGCAACTTGAAGAGGGAAGGATTTCTTTTGGCCCTCAGTTTGGTTACTATAGTCCATCAGACAGAGAAGGATGCTGTAGGAATGTGAGGCAGCTAGTCACACTGCATCCCAGGCAGAAGTAGAGTGATGGATGCTGGTGCTCAGCTGACTTTCTCCTTTTTATTCTGTCTAGAACCATAACAAATAGGGCAGTGCTACCAAATTTTAGGGTACTTCCCAACTCAGTTTCCTGAATCTTGAAGCTGCCTCACAGACATGACAGAAATTTGTCTTCTGGGCGATCTGGGACCTGTCAGAATGACAGTACCACATACCTTTGCTCTATCCTCTTGGGTTCTACCTGTTAGGTAAAAGCTGTTACGTGTGCCCTAAATGTCTCCTCCAATGTTATCCTGAAACTAACAGCACACCACTGTTACTCCACAGTGACAAGTCAGAAATCTTTTTCTGCCTAGAATAGAGTTTACTTCATTAGCCACATTGCATAGCAAGTTCAATCCAATTTCTCGAGCTGCAATAACACAATCATCCAACCTAATTATCTTCATTGCAGGTATTTAAAAGCACTTTCTGAGCAACATCTCTATCTGTGTCAGGTAGGATCAACATCAAGTGAACATAGTCTCCATTCTGTCTTCTTGAGGATTAACACATTAGGAAATGGTTGTTTCTTGCAAGGGAGAAATTATCTCTCACCCTTTGTGGGTACCAAAAAGTGCTTCCTAGTCAATAAAAGCATCCATGCACTGCTACTCACACTAGTGCTTTGAAAGCCAGGTTCTCACAATACCTTAAGCACACTTGCACTTTTAGCATTCTGCAGAATTGAGACTATTATAGTCCGTATGACTTGTACAACACCTTGAATCGACTGAGAAAAATTTAGGGCAAAGAAGGAATTTTTTTAAAAGCATGACAATCAGAGATAATTTGTACTTGAAATTCCATCCCATACCTCCACAACTTAGAATAATGATGGCTGCTCCCTGGAAATGATCCAGAGGACATATCGGCTTGTTTTTGAAGGATTCTTAACAGCTCGTTTACTGAAAGCCCCCAAATTCTATTTCTAAAATAGTTCATCTATTTTTCTTCTCAATTGTCAAAAGAGAAATCAACTTATATCTTCTTTTAAAAGAAAATAGATAATTTATTAGGGGAAAAGACTCCTCTTGAACATTTTTGAATGGATTTGTAGGCAAAATGAATAAAGGAGAAGGAAGTCCAATCCCAATTCAAGCTAGCCATTTCACTACTTCCTAACTTGTGGAATTACATTAGTTCACTGCGGTTCTGGGTCTCTGCTTGTGAGTGAGTGAGCTTTCTCCCAACACTGCAAGGGAGCTCATTTGACTTATGCCCTGGGCCAGCAACACATTACTTCTGCAGCCGTGATAGTCTAATAGCTTGGATTTCAACAGTGAATGGTATCCTTTGCTCCTTTGGAAAGCAGCTTGGCAGCGCTCAAAGTGATGGAATCTAACCACTTAGGCGTTTCGGATAAGCACCATCTGATGCTTACTTCTGATAAAAAACACTGTGATAAACACCACGGGGGAACACTCAAGCCACAGAACTCCATGTAGTCAGTACAACCACAGCTACATCCAAAAAAGGATGGAGAGGAGTAAATGAACTGGTATATGGTTTCACTAGATGTCTGTTGTGATGAGGCATTTAGGAACAAGCATGGACAGCATTGCTGTTTGGAACTAAAATCCAATGCCACATTCAAGCCATACTCAAGCTTAAATTCTTACCTTATACACTTGACCATACGTCCCATTTCCGACAAGTTCCACCAACTCAAAGATCCCTGCAGGGTCCTAAAGAAAAACCAACAATCAAAATTTAAAAACCATCCCAGGACCTGTCATCACCAAAAGCAAACATTTACTCAAAATAAGCCATTAAATCACTTGAGTTTGATAGAAGGGCATCTTTTAGATGCAACTGCTGAATAGTATCAATTTCTAAATTAATTTAATTAAACCACAGCTATGAAATTAGTCAAATTCACTTTGTTTTCGTTTCACACTTTTATGATGAATTTAAATCAGACAAAATGAAATTGTTTTCCATTAAAACAATAAAAAGGGTGGCTAGGGACATGACTCAGTCCACAGTGTCCTTGCCATGCTGTCGTGGAATAATACATTTGTACAACGTAAAAAGGTGTTTTCTGATTGGTTTAATGAAATTCTGACTGGCCAATAGCTAGGCAGGATTTCCAGACACAGAGCACACTGGGAAGAAGAAGGGGGCAACATGAGGAGACAAGGAGGAAGCAGGAACGCAGGATGGACAGTATGTAGACAGGTACATGAACCTTGGAGCAGCACATAGATTAACAGGAATGGATTGATTTACATTATAAGAGTTAGTTAGAAACAAGCCTAAGCAATCAGCCAAGCTCTCATACTTAATAAAAAGTTTCCATGTGGTTATTTGGGACCTGGATGGTGAGACAGAGAAAGACTCACTACACTATGCATGCATAGAGGACCTGAGTTCCATTCTCAGGACCCACTTTAAAGAGCTGGACATGACAAAACATGTTTCAAATCCCAGCACTGAGAGATGGAGACAGGAGGGTTCTGGAGACTTACAGCTCAGCCACTCTAGCAAATCAATGAGCTCCAGGTTCAGTGAGAAAAAGCAAACCCTGTCTCAAAACATGAAGTGGAGAGGGACTGAGGGAGATACCTGGCATCAACCTCTGGCTTCCGCATGTGGACACATATCCATGCATGCCACACCTATATCCACATATGTGTGTATACTCACATACATACAATAAGCAAGAATTAACTTTTTTCTCACTAGGGAATCGAGGTACTCTTGCAGCACATATCACCTAGAGGGAGTTCTGATTTTTTTTTTTTTAAACAATTTCTCTGGAAATGTCTGAGCCACTTACTAGGTGGATGCTGGGAAGGAAACAAGGTATGCTGGCTAGTTTATTTCTTTGTTTTGGAAGGATATAAGCAAGAGTGATCTGGTAAGAAGAAACCTCAGTTGAGAAAATGACTCCATCATGTTGGCCTATAGACAAGTCTGTGGGATATTTTATTGATTCATAATTGATATAGGAGGGCCCAGCCCATTGGTAAGGCCCCCCCTTGGACTGGTAGTTCTGGGCTGTGAAAATAACAGGCTGAGTGAGCCATAGAGAGCAAGCCAGTAAGCAACTTTTCTCCATTGTTCTTGCTCTTTTCCACATGTCTCTACTCTTGCTTGAGTTCCTGCCCAATTTCCCTCGATGGTGCACAGGGATCAGGACGTAAGCCAAATAGAACCTTTCCTCCCCCAGTTGCTTGTGTTTATCACGGCAACCTGATACAACATGTTCCTCAAGTGTGAGCAATCTTCCTTATGGGATTCAACAGTCTCCAAGAAAGAAATGGGGATCTAGGAAGCCGCCCATCCGCCTGAATGGTTTTCCTTGGGTTCATCTCTCACCTCTGTAATATTGCCACTGTAAAAATATGCTTGTACAGTACTCACAGGGGTAAATGTGGGATTGGGAATTCAACATAAGAGAAGGATTATAGAAGTTTATGGCAGCAAACAGGTTTCTATCAACCCTCAAAGTACCATGGGTTCTGTGAATGACCCAACAGTCAATGTTACTACTGTTGAGCTACAACCCCAAGAAGTGAAAAAGAAAATGATTCATAAAAATCCACAAAACTTCATAAAATTTAAGTCTGACTTTTACCCCTATGACTTCTAACCCAAAGAAATTGCTTCTTAGAAGAAATAAACTGAGATCAGGAAAATGTCTCAAGTGATAAAGGCCAGAAAGCCTGGGGACATGAGGATCCCCCAGGAACTGCCTGGTAGAAAAAAAGAGCCAACCTCCAGCAAGCTGTCCTCTGAACACACACACACACACACACACACACACACAGAGAGAGAGAGAGAGAGAGAGAGACAGAGAGAGAGAGACAGAGAGAGAGAGCTAAAAACATAAACACAATTTTTAAAATGTAATTTTCTTTTTAAAGTCAAGCAGCAGGGAGAAGAACTCATTCCCAGGCTAGGCAGGGACAGGGAGGGAAGGGAGAAAGAGATACTTAGCACAACTAATTACTGCCCTGTCAGCATATGAGCACAAAACAGCCAGGTCTAATGATTTCTCAGGGAAACACAGACATTTTCTTTTAAGGTGTGATCTAATTTTTAAGTGTTAGTCATTTAATTTACCTGAAAAAAATTGAGAGGTGAAAACAAGCAAACAAACAAAAACCACCTAAGAATGGAGCCTACCTGAAGGGCCACACAGAAGAGCAACTGGTGCGCATTATGTCAGGTGGGTGGCAGGGAGAAGGGACCAGCCCAAGCCTCAGATTCAGACAGACCCAGACCAAATGCAGCTTTAACTTGACCCTAGGAGGGCTTAAAGGCTCAGGCTAGTGTCTGAGCCTGTAAAGCAGAGGTGACTTTTATCCTTCTGTGACCCCATGAGAAGTTGACAACCTATTAATACCTAATAGTAATCACTTTTGGGTTTTGACAAGATCTCACAGCCAAGGCTGGTCTCTAACTCACTGTGTATCACTGTGGCAACTTTAACCCTGATCCTGCAAGTGCTGACATCACAGGTCTGTAGTGCCATGCCCAGTTTATGTGGTGCCGGGTGAGAGCCCAGGGCTCTGGGTGTGCTAGAAAAGAGTAGAAAGTGAGAGGGACAGCTCCATGGTGCAGCTGAAGGGGAAGATTATATTGTAGATATTAGGGAGAGTACAGCCGGGATTAACAGGAGGGGCCCAGACCAGGGAAAGAAAACAGTGGACTAAATATGGCCAGCAGAATGGACTCGTTTGGTCATGGGGGTGGAGGGCAAGAGAGGGGCAGGAGAGAGAGCACCAAAAGAGGAGGACAAAAGAAGTCCAAGAGGGTGTATAGCCAAAATGGCATGGTTATACAGGAATGAGAAGCTGGGCGAAGGGAGGCCCATACACTAGAGAAATTCAGGGTAGGAACGGGGTGAGGAGAGATGAGGAGAGCTGTGGGTAGCTGTAATGCTGAGAAAGCTCCGAGGCCAGCTTGTGACTTGGTAGCTATGCTAATAGGCACCACAGATAGCCACTTTTGGACCTGACAAAGTATTCTGTGAACTGAGGAGCCATGCCCCTAATCTACATAACCACTTTTATCCCCACGTGTGACACCACAGCGTTACGAAGTGGAAGAAAGGCTGCGTCTGAGCCGTCACTCTGATATCCCTGAGGAAGGTGGCAGATAAGTCAGAGTTCTTAAAAATTAGTCTACACTAAATCAGAGTCCTCCCCTCAAGCCAATGGTCAAGGGTCTTTCAAATACTCCACTTGGTAAGCTAGGGAGATGGTGAGCAGGTAAAGAGCTTGCCATGCAACTGTGAGGACCAGAGTTGGACCTCTAGCACCCATGAAAAATGTCAGGCTAGTGCTGTGACTGTCTTGTAATCCTAATGCCAGAGAAGCACAGTTGGAAATCCCCAGAGAAAGCTGGCTAGCTACACTAGTTGAAGTGGTGAGTTCTGCTTCACATAAGGTGGCAAGTGTCCCAAGTGAGTGCCCTATGAGCCAAGCAACTGCCATGTTGGGGAGTTAAACTATGGAACTGCAAAGGGTTGTCACAGCTAGGCTGACAAAAATTTGCAATCCTCCCCCTGAATAAATGTTCAGATTAGGGCACAAGATTCTAGTCTGAAATCCTTGCTCCATATCTCCTGCCAGGATGCAGGTAGCCTGTGGGAAGAGCTAGAGTGTGCAGATCTGGGAAATACAGCACACTGACTCCAGGTGTGTGACTTGGGAAAGCCTGCATCCTGGTTGGGTAAGACTCTCCAGGTGCAGCCTGTTTGCAGAGGAGTGACCACACCCCTGTAATTAACCCCTCACCTAGGCTCAGTAAGGAAGCCCAATAAATTCATTGGTGATCTTTGCACAGAATCATGGCTTGGTCCATCCTTGGGATCTTGGGAGGAAGGGTAGACTGTTTTACATAGGCCCCAGAGAAGGAATGCTAACAAGGGTAATCGAAAGATAGTCAATATTAACCTCTGGCTTTCACACACATATGCGCCTACATACACCCCATATACATATCCAACAAAATCAGAAATGGGAATCTTTTGGTCACTGAGAAGAAAATCTGGAATAAAAACAATAGAAATTAGTCATTCACAGCTGGTCCATAGAAGTATAGAACCAAGGTGGGGAAACTGTTAGGGACATCAGCAATGCGTCACCACCCATAACTAAGGCATTGTCAAGGCCACTTGGGAGCCCTTAAGAGAAAATTTTAGTTTGCTAACTCCTAAGCCATTTAGAACAGCAGGTTTCATACAAACAAGATTAGAAATAAGAAAGGGGAAGGGCTAGACAGGCCACAAATGGGAGCAGTTGCTGTTTGTTTCTATGCTGTCTTTCCTAGTAGTTTGTTTGTTCAGTGATGTTTCTGCAACATGCTCGAAAGGAATTCTTCTTGTGCTTGAAATATCTCAGCTAGAAAAAGAAAGAGCAAAAAGGATAGGGATGGGAAGGTGGAGGCCCTATCTCCCTGAATGGACATATGAACCAGCCAACCAATGCCAAGGAGGCTCCATACAGCGTTCCAATGGCTGCAGGAGAGAAAAGCCTTCTCCTGGACACATCCAACGGGCTCAGAAGCAAAGGCCAAAGGAGCTAAAAAATCTCATATTGACTGGCTTTGAAGAGGCAACCACAGTGAGAAGAAACTGGTTAGTCAAAAAAACAAAAATAAATTTAAAAAAAATGACTCAGAATCTCGTATTTATATCCACAGAGCCGATCTATCACAGAGTGTCTTGGAACCA